TAACTCCCGAACATACCACCCAGCCCAAGGGTCTGGGTAACAAGGACCAGCTCTACCTCATGTTTTCATCATACCTACAAATTGTCTTTTTTTCCCATTAAAATTGAGAAAATGACTTACCTTAAAATTAAAAAAAATATTTATATATGTGTGTGTATGTAGATAGATAGATAGATAGATAGACAGACAGACAGACAGACAGACAGACAGACAGAAAGACAGACCGACCAACCTGTTGAAATGGTTTCAGAACTCTTGAGGGGTATTTTCTGGATAATTCAGTTCTTTGAGGATTTGAATATCAACATTAGGTGTGGGGAGGATGAGAAGGGAATGGAGCACATTGCAGATTGAACGTGTTCTCCCCTAGGGCTGCAAATCTTCATCTGATGATGTATCAGAATCCTTGTCCCCTCACTTTCCTTCTGCCTCCCCAATATTAGCTCAGAGACACTTGCAGAGAGGCCTTGGAAAGAAGGATGAGGTTCTTACAAGCATCAGTGTCCCTCAGATGCACCATCTTGCTGCTTGATGGGCTAAGGAATAGAGTGGGTTCCACTGTAGCCTTCATCCATTCGTGACCATGGGCAAGTTACTTCAACTTAGAGGTTCTTACTTATTTAATGAGAATGATAAACTAACTTTCCCAGTTTTGTTATGAGAGTTTCTCTTACTTGTGCCTGGCACAAAGCCTGACACATGCTGGACAGTCATAAAGTGTAGGTTTCTTATCACCATTTGACTTGCCTTGCCCCGATACTCCAGAGCTGATCAAGAGATCAGTCCTATGTGAGGTGGTGGTCTATGACCACCAAGTCTCAGACCAAGTGTTTTGTGGTTCTGACTCAAGCCTAACAAATAATTGGGAGAAAAGAAGAGCCCAACAGGTATATGCGGCTCTTCTTATTTCATTAGGAACTCTTGCATTAATTGACTAAATCTTCCACATGGAGTCTGAAAGAAATGGAGATTGGGCTTGAAATCTCAGTGAAGTAGAGACATTTGGAGAACAGTTATCTGAGAGATTTCTCCTCAATGCTTTTAATGTTATCCATAGATTTCAGCCATCCGTGGACATGATTATAATGAGCTCCTTCCAAACCCAAGAGTTTGTCATTCTGGGGGTAAAAGGGAGACACCCAGCCGCTATGTCTTTGGCCTGCTTTCCCCATGAGGTCATGCACGCATACATTGGACCATATGGTGTCTGCATTTGTGCTGTGTTTTTGTTGGAATCTGTCTTCGTATCATCTGCAACTGTTTTCTCTATAAATATTTTGAAGGGTTATGTCTCTGTAAACATGCTTATTTTAATCTCTTGGCTGATCTACAACTAGAAATGTCCCATTTGAATGTTCTTATGTGTAGCGAACACAAATGATTGTTGTATATAAGTTATGATTTTTATGATATTTTGAGGGTCTTCTAAAACTTCTTTTCTTGCCCTTTATGACAGTGTTCTAGAACAGTGGTTGCAAAAACAATTTTTTTTTTCATTTGTGTGTGTTTTGTGATTCTTGAGCACACCTCCAAGATCATTCCTAGGCTCTCTAAGTTTTCAACCCTCGATATAACATGGCCGTGGTACTAAATGCTGATTCACTTGATGAAATCTTAAGTATTTTCACCAAATTCAGAGGCAGTGTCCTGACTTCTTGACTAAAAATCATGTAACAATACAAGTCCAATGCCTTTAAACCATCACAAATCCATTCTTTTTTATGGAAATTGAGCCACTTTCTTCAGTTGACTGATTATCCTTGAGTTCAACAATGAAGAAATATCCATGTACATGCAAGAAAGCTTTGCCTTTCTTTTCCTTCCACGGTAGTGCTTGACTTTTAAAAAAATAGCTGAGAGGTCCCATTTTATAATAATAACCCAGCAAAATTGCCCAAAGCCATTGACAAATGTATGTTCAATAGTTAGACTATGGAACAAAAATACCCCTTTTTTCCCCCTAACTCATTTTCATTCAAGTAAGTTCTGTCTATAAAAACAGACCGATTTAATCTGTTCAATCGGCCTAATTTAATCAATGTAGATTTAATCAATGCAGAGCAGGCCTTGAATATTTAAAGTCAAAATCACTCTTTGGGGAATTCTACATTTGGATGTTTATGTGGGTTAACTCATCCAGACACTGGTACCCTTTCCTTTCATTTTCTGCTGCAGTCACACAACTTGGGAATTGACCAAAGATCATTCTAGAAGGTTTCCTAGGTGCTCGATGTCTTGCCTGGCTCTGTAGTAGTTAATGTCAGCCTGAGAATTCTGAGTAGGCATAAGCATTTTTCTCGAAACCATAGTTAAAGCAAACCACATCTCTAATCCTGTTTGGAACAGCAATTGATGCGTTCAGGGCTGCACAGTGTGGCAAAATGATCCCTGTTTAATAGCCTGACCGCGTGTTTTGTTTCCTGTTAGGAATAGCTTAACTTGCCTTCTTGAACAAACACAGCAGGGTTCAAGATCTGTTGTTCTATGCCTGCTGTGATATTCTGTGCTGCTTAACTTGTATGAGGACTCAGGAGTGCATAAATTAGCTTCTTAAATGGAGGTCAGTTTTTGGTCTTTGGGATGGAACTGTCTTATTAAACCCAGCTCCCACCCCCAGTGTAAGTGAGACCCCAAATCTAATTAATCTGTTTGCATTTTCTTTGTTTCTTTCTTCATATTATATTGGGGAGGGGATAAATAGAAGTATTCATTTAGCTCAATTCTCTCTCCTCTCCTTTTTTTCTTGCTTTCTTCTGTTTTGTTCTTTAGGTCCAAACTTGTGTAAGTCGAATTTGGCCCAGCTCTTATCCCAGTGTCATTCTTTGCCCCATTTAACTTCTATTCTTTGAACTGTCGAATTAACTGTCGTTGAAAATAGGAAATTGAAAGTTCGCAAAGCTGCTGTTTTTGTAGAACTACGGGGCTAGTGATTTTAGTGTTACATTACAGTTACATAACCAACTAAGTCGATGCAAATGAAGTTCAAAACTGAGAGGTGGTAACTATTTGTATTTGGTTTGGGTTTATGGCTCATTTGCTTTTACCTTTTCTTGTTCTGCATATAAAATATTATTTCTTGTTCGGAAACCCTCTTTTCCTCCTTATTATTTACTATTTTATGCAAACATATACAGACATTTTTATATGCGTTCTTCATTCAGGAGTTGGAGATTGATGTATTCATGTTCCAAAGGATGATACTAACACTGATGGCTACGGCATAAATTGTGAGTTCTATTTTGTAAATAAGGCAAAATAAGGCAAGGGCCGTAGAAGCCGGAGGGAGTCTGACCACTTCCCCTTTTCTCATGGCCAGTGTCATAGGCTCTGTGGAAATCTGAGCAGTGTGTTGTTCAGCCATAACGACAGTGACATTACGAAGTATTTTGTTCTCCACCATAGTCCTGTATAAGAGTGTCTGTGACAGC